GCTGGCCTTTTACTCTACCAAGCGTGATGCCATCTGGTCTCTCTTGATGACATGTCCAAAGTACATGAAATGAAGTCCCACCATCCTTGTTTCTAAGGAGCATTCTGCTGCTCTTCTTCCAAGATGGATTGGTTTGTCCTTCTGGTACTTCCAAAGTTTAATAAGTGTGTATTTCATTGTTTTAATTTGTAACTCCCTAATGACTTCTGATGCTGAGCCTCTTGTCATGTGCTTATTTATCACCTGTCTGTTTTCTCTAGTGAAATTCAATTCACTATAAAAATGGAACAGAGCCACATAATAGGTCCTGAGATTATGGTTCTCCAATGTAGAAATAAAATTAGAGTGAGTGTTATTTGCATTTGTAAATGCATTTGTAATGAAGGGTTCTTTTAGAAGGACCAGAAATCATCCAGGTATCTGCAAGTCAGCAGCATCTTTTGTTACACTTTTTTATTTTCTTCTGCAGATGTAGATCAGAGCAGGTCGCCTCTGTTTAGAGAAATGAATGCCGCCGTCTATTGCTAACATTGCAATTTCTCAAGACTTCATTGGTAAATAAGTGGGGAAGAAAGCCTTGTCATGTGTTGCCCTGCGGGCTTCCCCAAAGGATGCTCTCAGGTTCCCAGGACAAGCATTGTCAATTCCGAGGCTCTTCCAGGCCCTTGTCCTCAGCCCTTCCCAGCCAAGACTGTCCATTTGGTAGATGTCCTTCTTTATCTCAGACACACCAGAGAGACAGAGAGACTAACAGTTGCCACTGAACCGATTCTAACTAATGGAGAATTCCACCCATGCTCTGTGTCAGAGTAGAGTTCTGCTCCATATGGTTTGAAGTGGCTGATATTTTTGGAAATTGATCACCAGGTCTTTCTTCTAAGGTGTCTCAGGGGACTAGAACTGCCAGCCTTTGGGTTAACAAACAAGCAAGTAAGCATGTGTACCACCAGCCAGGGACTCCTCTCTATCTCCAGATTGCCCTAGTTCATGGGGGAATACACAAAATCTGTCCTCTGTCCCTGCCCCCTTTGCCTCCTAGTTCCTGTTCTTCCTCAGGGAATGGAGGCTCAGTTGCCTGTGGAGAGAAGTTATGTGATCCATTATTTCTCATTCAGTCTGGACAGCCTGGAGAAATCCCTCTGCCTCCCATGAGTTCTTATGTTTGAAATGAGGGGCAATACCCTGACATTGTTAATCCCTGGGCACGGGGTAAGGATTACATTTCAGAGCAATTTAAGCACTAAACAGAAAATCAATATGTACTTATAAGCATCCCATTGGTACAGTGGGTACTCAGAATAAAAATGAATACAGGAAGGGGCTAGCTTCTAGAACCAGGATTTGTTGTTGTTGTTGGTGGTGGTGGTGGTGTTAGGTGCCGAGAAGTTAGCTCTGACTCATAGCAACTCTGTGGACAACAGAGCAAAACACTGCTGGGGCCTGAGCCATCTTCACAATCGTTCTTAAGTTTGAGCCCATTTTTGCAGCCATTGTGTCCATCTTGTCTAGGGCCTCACTCTTTTTCCCTGCCCCTCTATGTGACCAGGCATGATGTCATTCTCCAGAGACTTGCCTCTCCTCACAACATGTCCAGAGTATGTAAGACTCACTCTCCTTGGCTCTTTCTGGCCTTACTTCTTCCGAGTCCGATCTGCTTGTTCTTTTTGCAGTCCGTGATACTTTGAACATTCTTTGCTAGCTTTGTAATTCAAGCCCATCGATTCCTTTTTGGTCTTCCTTATTCAGTGTCCAACTTTCGCATGTAGAGGAAACTAAAAAAATATATACCATGGCTTGGGTAGGGCACACC